TAAATATGCAGAAAAGCATGAATGTTTGTATAGCATATCTCAAAATCCCTAACTCTCCTCCTGTGGACTGGAAGCCCATCTGCACATACAGAGGTCTTTGATAGTGGAGTCAGGAAGAGCAGGATTTTATATTCACTTCAGTCATCTCCTACTGCTGAGTATGAGCTTTCAAATCTGAAGAATGGGCACAAAACACCTGCAGAAAAATCCAAAGGAAGGGATGAGCATAAATTGCCACGACAATTCAGTTCTTGTCTTCCTTTCTTCCTCAGGAGGTGGCCTGATTCCTTCATACGTGTACATCTTGTGTAAAATATTGTTTAGCTTAAGGGCTGTTTTTTAATTTATCCTTTTCATGTGCCACTTCTGTATTAGGGGAACTTATGTTACTGAGAAATGCTACATGAATTACAATTTTGAAATTGTTTCAAATGTTTTAACTTGTAAGGGTGAGTAATTATTTAAGGGTTAAAGTCACTATTATCTTTTTTCTACTTTAGGTAGCAAATAAATAATGCTAGATATAACTTCACGCCTATAGGTTAGCTATTATTAAATATTAGCTTTTGTGCTTTACACAACTGCTATCTTCATTATTTACCATTTGGTTCGATGCTATGTTTCTCCACTCTATAAAAAAAACTATTATATTAAACTATTCTCCACTCTAATAAAACGATTATATTCCTCCTCACAAAGAAAATATTACTAACATTTTTTTCTTCACTTAGCTCATAATTTACCATCAGTATTAAAGTACAAACCAGTTTTAAGTCAAAAATCTCTAGATGTAATATTCTAGTTTGGCCACTTGCTAGCTGTCCCCTAGCTACATTTCATTCCTTCCCTGATCCTGTCTTCTTCCTTCTTCAACAATGCCAATGATACTCATCTAGAAAGGCAGTTGTTATACATTCTTTTTTGGTCATTGTCTACATGCTCAAAACATTTCTTTCATCCTCTTTCATTAAAAAAAATTGTTCATGACCCATTAGATTCATAACCATTTCAAGGGCCTGATAGGCTTTTTGAAAAGCAGTGAGTTATGATCACATGCTTACCATGATGCTTGGTATATAATACAAGTATAACAATTGTTGATTACTATTATTATCGTTGTGATTATTTTAGTCTCATTTTAGGATGCTTCGTGATAATGGAAAATAGAATCTTTCAAGTACTTCTAGGAACAAAACTCTCTTTGGATGGGGTCCAAAATAGACTCATCCTCATCATATGCTGAAATATGCACTAGAGGGGGTTGTGCTATAGCAAAGCTCTTGTGTGCTATTCATCACACAATGATGAATGAGCTGGAAGAGCACTAAGAAAATGTCGAGTCTTATTGCTACATTTTCCCTCCTGTATTTATGGTTTGTAAAATATTCCGTCTTTATTGTTCACCGATACATTGTAAAAGTGGTTTCTTGGATCCAGAACTTAACAGAGTAATGAGAAATAGTTGTGCGATGTGGAAAATTGGGAAGTGATTTCTAGGTTTATTTCAGATTTTATACTCTCAGCCACTGTATGACATGAAGATGACCTCAACAAGTGATTAGCCCACTTCTGATGTTCTGCTGTTCCGATTAGCCCAGGAGATGCTGTAGCAGCAGGGTACTGTGTGGTTACAAATTCTGCAAATGTACTCATACAAGTTTATCTGGGTGCAGTCCCACTCTCACTTCTACTTGATGTGCAGAGAAAGTTATGTTCCTCTATTAGTTCTATCTCACCTTCCTTGAGAGCATCACTCTGAATAATTTTCAGGTTTTTTTATATCATGATAGCCCAGACTCTAGCCCCTACGTCTTCATCTTGGATTCTTACTTCTTTCCCTAAGATGTTTTGGTGGTAGTAGGGATAGGAAGATCTAGGACCTCATAATAGTAGCAAAATTGAGCTTATGTCATTTATTGTGCAATGTCTCATGTTAATTTCTAGATCCTTTATTCCTTGTACATTGATGACATTGGTGACAATCACTGCTGAGATCTCTAATCAATTTACCCAACAGTGGAGTAAAATAATATTTTTTATGTTATTCTCTCAGGAAACAGTCATGTTCCTTAGCTGGGTACTTCTCAAATGAGGTAAAATGACCAGACAGATGGGATAGCTGTCTCTTCAACTAAATTAAAAGTACAGTTTTTAAACTTTGTTCTTCTAATAAACTCTGCATGAAGAAAGTAGGATTAGCCAGGTTCTGGTGGCTCACGCCTGTAACCCTAGCTATTCAGGAAGCTGAGGTCTGAGGATCCAGGTTCAAAGTAAATGTGGGCAGAAAAGTCCATAAGACTTTTCAATTAGCCAAAAAAAAGGCAGAACTGGAGGTGTAGTTCAAGTGACAGAACACCATCCTTGAGCAAAAAAGCCAAATGATAGCTGGAGACCCTTAGTTCAAGCCCCAGCGCGTGCACACACACACACACACACACACACACACACACACACACACACCACACCACACACACACACACACACCTCAGCATCACGTTTATCAGGCAAGGGGAAAAGCAAGTTGATGATAATCACTTGTTAAATCTCAGAATTTTAGATAAATCCAGAAGAGCTAGTATCTGTCACGGCTACCTAGCCTCAGCTCCTGTCATGAGAGAGGTTGGAGGGTAAACTTGGCTTGGAACTTGCATCGTAATGGATTTCACTTCTCTTTCACCAAGAAGAAGAAGAAGAAGAAGAAGAAGAAGAAGAGGAGGAGGAGGAGGAGGAGGAGGAGGAGGGAGCCAGAGTGGGGGGGGAGAGAGAGGGAGAGAGAGAGGGGGGGAGAGAGAGAGAGAGAGAAAGAGAGAGAGAGAGAGTGTACCTGCCATGTCAGACATTCCTTTTCCATTCTCAACTTGTTGGCAAACTAAACTTCATTTAGCAAGATTCCCTTCAAAACTCTATGCCTTCTTTTTGGAAATGGGACAGAGGTTTACTGACCAAGCCTTCAGTACTTTTCAGGAGCACAGCAGGCCGAATGGTGTGAAGAAATGGGCTGCAGAGACAACAGCAGGATGCTGGATCATTAGGAGGAATCTAAGGGGCTCTGCTTACCTTTGCTCTTTCCAAGACTGCTAGGAGTCTGCGGGAGGAAGTATTGTTCATACGTGCTAGCATGAATGCAGACTGAGCAGTGGAGGTGGCTGAAGTCTCCGGCTTTACTTTACTTAACCTTTCTGACCATGTTCCTAATGAATTTGGATGGGCTCACTGCCAATCCGGGCTTGCAGCTGCTTAGTTTCCCCTATGGAGATCCTAGAGTTAGGGAAGCAGACTAAAATGCATCTCTTTGGCTGCCAATCCACACCGGGACCTCTAAGCCACCCTTGGGGTTCTGTGCATAAAGAATGTACAGGACAACAACGGGGAGCCTCCATAGGAAAGGGGTGTATGTGATTTCTCAGAGAAGGGGGTGGGAAGGCGGGGGATGGTGGGCACTCCCTTTCTACCATTCATGAAAGCGAGTAACATGGAGCGAAACCAGAGTTGGATGCAATACTTCCTGTCTTTGCCCCCAAAGTACATCTTCTAATCATCCCGGGCACGAGGCTGCCAAGGTGAACTGGGCGGACGCAAACCGTGCCTCATCGAGGCGCGCTCCTTACTTGGAAGCATGAACACTGCTTTGGATAGGGCGCGACCAACATCCCCCTCTCGCCCCCCGCCCGCTTTGGTGTTGTGGTGTGTGCGGGCAGTGGAGCAGGAAACGCCTGGGTGTGCCTGTTTTAGGGGGATTAGTGATTCTGTGAGCCAGGGTCTCTTCTGGTCGGGTGGATGGATGGATGCTGGGGAGTGACGTCACTCCGCCCCCTCCTCTGCGAGTGTGTGTGTGTGTGTGTGTGTGTGTGTGTGTGTGTGTGTGTGTGGTGGGGGGGGGGGGGTGTCCTCATAACCCAGCTCTCCTGCCCGTCCCTCCTTAGTCCAACCCTCGGTCTCTTTCAGTGGGTCAGTGGTCCAAATTCAGAGATTAGCTAGTGGGTGCCACGGGCCTGGCTCTCCCCGCGCTCGGACGCACCCACATTTCCACTCACACTCGGACAACGCGCACGCACGCGCGCGCTCACACACACACACACACACACACTCCCCCTTAGAGCTGGGGCACGGCGATTCCGTGGGATCTCCAGCACAGGAGGAGGATTTTAGAAACCACCCAGACCAGGAAACAAAGAGAGAAGCCTTTCCAATGACTTTCTTGAGCTTTTCCATTTAATCTCCCCACCCAGCCACCTCGCCCCGCAACCTCCTCCAGCTCCAGGCTCACGCCGGGGCCCAGGGCTCCCCTGGGCGGGCCCTCCTACACCCCCTGGCCCAAGGCGCCCCCCGCTCCTTCGCGCCCATCTCCGGGCAGTCGCTTCACCCGCTGCTCCCCATCTTCCCCTCTTTCCCCCGCGGGCCTCAGTTTCAGGTTACCTCGCGTGCGCTTGCTTGCTTCACTTTTGGGGGTGAAAAAGAGAAGAAAGGGAGGGAGGCGCTGAGGGGGGCAGCCGAGTTGCTATTTGTGGCCAAAGAATCTGCTTTAAAAGCAGCAGCAGCAGCAGCAGCAGGAAGGAGGAAACAGGAGAGGCTGAAGGAAGAGGGGAGACGCGGCCCCGGACCCCCCAGTCGCGAGCGGCGGAGCACCGGGGAGCAGGAGGAGGAGGAAGAGGAGGAGGAAGAGGGGGAGCCAGCCACACCGCGGCGGCGGCGGCAGCTGGGGGAGCGGGAGGCGGAGGAAGCGCCGCGAAGCCGCGGGCTCGGAAGGGCCAGGAGGACGGCCCGGGAAGAGGAGGAGGAGGAGGCGGAGGAGGAGGAGGAGGAGAAGAAGACGGGGTAGGGGTGGAGGGAGGGCGGGGGGGACGCGCTCCCTTGGATGCTGGATTTCGGGATTTTTGGACTCACTCGCTGACTCCTTCACTTCTTCCTTCTGGACCTGACTGGCCCTACGAGGGCTGGACGACGGCGATCAGATCACCACCGAGAGAGCCAGAGAGAGGGAGAGGGGGGTGGGTGGGGGGCTCCCGCAGCGACCGGCGCTCTCCGGCAGGATTAAATTGGCCGCCCCGGGGCGACGGCGCGGGCAGGCGCAGGCTGCGCGGCCGTGGCGGGGCGCGAAGGCGCTGGGGGGAAAAGTGCTGGTGGCGACGGCTGCCCGGAGACAACATGATCAGGTAAGTCCCTCGGAACCGACCGAGTCTCCCCACCTCGGGGTCCGGGTTTCTCACTGCCCAGAGATCGCCCGTGCGCCCAGCCCGGGCTGCTGGCGCTTGCTCCGCTCCCGCGTCCCGGAGCCCCGCGCTGGTGGCGGGTGGAGGGGGGGGCGCCGGGGCGCACACTTTTGCTCTTCTGAACCTCCTTTGGACCAGGTCTTCGCAGGCGGGGTTCCTGTCTCGCCTGAAACCTCAGACCCCGGAGAGAGGCGATTGTAGAGCATTAAAGGGGTGTCTGGGTAGGTGTATTTGTAACGACCCCCGCCCGGGTCTTTTCCTCCTAGGGTGGGTAGAGTAGAATTGCGGGGTGTAGGGAGGGGGACGCTAGGATCCGTGGCGGGGCTCGAGTGGCCGGGGCGGGGTGGGGGGGAGGCGGCAATTGCGATCTAACTCAGGCTTTGGGCAACTGCAGAGTTATTTCTTGAAGGCTGAGATGCCTGTTTTGAGGAGGGTTGGTTATGGGTGAGGGGGGCGATTTCTTTTTCTTTCCTCGGAACTAGTGGGGAAGAGTAGGCATGGCAGGAATCAAAGTCTGCCATTGAGGAGGGGGATAGTTGGCGAGAGCTTTCCTTGGCAGAATCCAAGCTCCAAAGCTCACACGGTTCTGGTTCTGGTTGGGGGACGAATCTGATCTGCTTTCACACACTCATTCCATAGGGACGGAGAGGAACGCAAGGCAGAATTTGTCATGAAGAGTTAAAAGTTGTAGGAAACAATTTGAAAAGAAAGCCAGGAGCAAATCAGAGATTGATTTCCTATAGATTTATTGCCGCTTCTACGTAGGTGTGGTAGAAAACTTGCCTCCTTTCTCTGCGACATGGATACTAGTTAAAAAAAAAAAAAAACATTAATAAGTGAAGCCAGATTTTTTTTTAAGATTAAAAGAAGCATTGAACATTAAGTGTGAGTTTGGCTTTCATTAATTGGGTGTTCAGAGATTCCAAAGAATAGTTTGGTTCTTCAAACCCCGGGCCTGTCACCATGTATTGTTTCCAGTTTTCTCTCGGTACAGACTTGCCAGATACCCTCTCTGTGTTCTAAGTATCTTAGAGGGATCCCCTAGACTCATCCCACAGTCTGCCCTAGGATGACTGGAGGGAGGGAGGGGGGATTCTCCCCTGTATTGTCTTTTAAAAGATAATGATAATAATAACAACAATAATAAACTTTAAGACCCAGCACCAGAGACTTAACAAGTAGTTCACACATTTTGAGCCCCTTCAATAACTTAACTAGTAACTGCTTATGACTTGAGATAGATTTGCTGTTGAACTTACAGAGCTACAAACATAGACTTTACCCTTTGGTGTATTCTCTCTGCTCACCCTGTAGCACTTATGGGTACTTAGTTCAAACATAGATTCTTTGGACCATCTGGGCTATTCTTTCTCTGTTTCAAAGTACACCCTTACCACTCAACTTGACTGAAACTAGGGCAATATACCAATAAAACATGCTCATTTAAAGGATCATTAGATAATGGCAGTGGAAAGATTATATTTTGTAGGTAATATGATGATATCCAGGAAAATGTTTAGTAGCTATCATACTTATTTTGTCATATACCTCAGATAGAAAGAAACTCACAAAGAGAGAACACATTTTCAATGCTCTGTATATGAATTCACTGAAACAGATATCCTAAGTGGACAATAAAATTTTTCCTACCTCCCACCTCCCATAATTATATACTGTACTTTGTTTTTCAATGGAGCCAGCAATTCTGTGACAGATTTCTTAAATTCACCCTCACGCTATCAGCTATTATTGTACTTTCAAAGTGTGAAATTGACAAGCTGGTCACTTTCATGAATTCAGCTGTCAGATTGTGTCCAGTTAAAAATTGCTAAAAGCTGTAAATGTGCCTGCCTGGAATTTTCTTTTGTGAAGGAAAGACAGAAAAGGGATTGGAGCTTAAGGGATGATATTAATTGTAAATCTTTAAAAATAGACACAATACCATGTGGGTCTATCACTAGCTGTTGTTGGGGAACACATTTAGATTTCTATCACTCTAAAAGTGGTGATTAATTCTTTATCTAATTGTAAAGAGTGAATACTTGGCATAAAACCCCCAGTAAAAATGATATAATAGGAATGCAGTTGAAATAAGAAAGCTGCCTGTTTCAAAGAAAGTTTAATATGATGAATATTATATTATTTTTATAATGATATGTAAAGAGGTAAAGGAATTGACCATTTTATAAGGAGGTTATATAATTAAAAAAAAATTCTTCTTGGGCCAGTGCGGTTAGACAGTTAAGAAAGTAATGGAATGAAGCAATATATTTTCATAAATACACATTGCAGTAGATAATTGCAGATGTAAAGCTGCTTAAAATAGGAAACACAGTGTTTTGATGTGCTTTTTGATATTGACATTCAATGAGAACCAAAATATCTCAAAGTGGAGAACTAAGAATTAGAGTCCTCTCATCTGCTGCTATTTGCTAAGCCACTAGGGGCCTGTATAACTTCTTAAATCCAGAAGATACCCTGGAATGCCAAAAGCAAACCCTTCCTAGAGAGACATTTTTGAAAAATCCAGTAGGTAATCCCTCAAGTTTTCTTTTTTCTTTTTTTAATACATTAAATCATATCTGATGTTTGTCACAGGCAGATTGAAAGATATTTCAAGGATATATTCAGGATTTCTCTGACACTATGGTTTTCTAAGGGTGATTGTTTTTCTTCATTCAGAGTGTGGAATGTAAAAGAGTTATTTGTGCAAATTTATATATGATCTCAGTTTCTCAGAGTATGTCAGGGTAAACAGGAAGAAACACTAGTATCATTTCCTTATTGACCTGATAAGGATACTATTTGCATAATGTAGGGTTAAAAGATGAATGAAGCAGAATTACTTTAAGGGAAGGGCAGTCATAGATGGATGGTGTGATTAAAAGAGCTTTCTGAGGGCTGTGCAAGTTTGTATGGAAGGAGACTGTGAAGCTGTGACTACAGTTTAGTCAGCACTTCAGGGACCTGGACTTGAAGACGCACTATACATTTTTAAATGTCAGATTTACAAATTTGAAATGAACCAGCTGTTCTAATCTTGATTGACATTAGGCAATAAGGTCAAGTACACTTACACTGATCTTTTGTTGATTTTTTCAGTTTTTCAAACTGACAAGGGGGACTATTTGTAAAAGAGAGCACTGCAAACATTTGCATATAGGATTTCTTTCAGACTATAGTTGATATATCAAGCCTTTGAGCAATTCTATACTTAGAGTCTATAGATAAACAAGAGTTCATTAATAAGACTGTATATGAAATGCATCAGTTGTAAAGAGATCGATTCTGCAAGGTGATTTTGTTTCTCCAAAAAGCACCTTGTTTTAGTTTCAGTGTGTTTGTGGGAATTTGTAATTGAAGCTTGTTTGAGCTGTAAGTTGTGATTCTATGATTTTAAAGGTTGATACTTTTAACATTTATGTATCTATATATAGATAAAATCTTTGTATCTAGTACATTTTGATTCCCTAAAGTTTCTGGGAATGAACTTTACCTTTTCTGTAATGTACTCAAATTCATGGCCACAAAATATGCATTTAATATTTATATTATAAGCCTAGATAAATAAGGTGCTAATGATAAAGACATAACTTGCCATTTTCTCAGAGTTTTCAAAGAATGCTTCCTCCCCCCCCCCCATTTTCATAAAAGGAAGGCAGTTTTGGATTGACAACCTTACTGTAACTAAACTGTGTCTTAATCCAGACCTACTGTGTGTATCTTATTGTACTATGGAGTTATTTACCTTTCATTTGTTTAATCTCTGTTCAGTTAAATTTCTTGCAAGAAAATCTTTAAAGAAAGACACTGACTTGGTTGGTGATGTCACACAGGCAACGTTCAGCCCCAAGCAAAGTCGGTGTTTAAAAACATTCTGTTTTGTATTATCAGTTATTTGCCAAGAAAAAGCTAAGGGATAAACTGCTACCTGTGTGAACCACAGAACTGAGAATTCCTGTATAACACATTAGATACAGAAATCTGATAATGTAAAAGAAGATCCCTTGAAAGGGATTTTTCAGTACATATCCTTCCAACAAGCATCACTTGTTTAAATGTCTGTAATTTTATAGCACAGTGACATTTCTACCAAAGGATATGTTTGTTTGGAGATATTTCCTGTAAGGATAATCTCATTTGCTTCTAATCAGTAGTTTGATAACACATATTAAAATGTCATGCTTGGTTCACATTTATTTCAATAGTGAACATGGCCAAATTCATCCTTTTGTTTTAAAAAAGTAAAAACATTTTCTAGTTCTCCATACCTAAGCCCTTGAGAAAGATAACTAGAAGTATATATGACTTATGCTTATCATCATTCATTATATGAAATCATAGCCTCTAATATAAAAGTTCAGCCCTTATTTTGCATCATCAGTCTTGGGAAGGTCAAAGAGCAAATGCTCATATGTTATAGCAGACTGTGACCTAATGTAACCTAAAACAATAATCATGACAGTGATTAGTCACTGAAGCATTAATGATACAGCATTCTTACATGACACATGTCACAAAATCACTTCTCAGACCTTAGTCCTTTGTTTGCTCTTTAAAAATTACCTATGCAATTTGCAAATGCTTACCAGTTTTTATCTTACCATTTTAATTATGAAATACCTTTAAGGCTTACAGATTAAAGTCATTTAAAAATTATATTTACATACATTGCCACACTTCTCAAAGCAACTCACAGGGGGAAAATGAACTTAAATAATGCCATTTCTCTTCTTCTCAAATAATTCACTTAGTAGCTTCCTGTTCATTTATTTCTCTTTGATCTTGATATATTTAATAGGTGCTTATCGATACTAGTCAGTTGGTGTACCGCTTTTCAAAAATTAATGAAACAAAACAAAACAAAGTCTTTTCATGGCTTTTTAACCTCTCTGTCTCATAAATCAAACCCCTATATGGTGTAGACTATAAATTAATAAAAG